GTAATTATCCAGAATTATGCTGGGCGTTATATTAAATAATTTCCATTTATTATTATTAATAATCTCCGATGTAAATTTTCATTTTTTTTCACAGTGCTGTTATTAATCGTATAATGTTGTCTTCCTAGATTAACCCCCGTATCAGGAAGGGTGATGTATGGAAATCATCTTTATAATTTATTTCCGTTATGGAAATTAGGAGTAACTTGAGGCGATGCAAGGAAAATCTATATAATTTACTATTTTATTTTTGTAAGGAAGATTTGATAAAAAATTTAAGTCCAGCAATAAACTCTTGTGTTGAAAGAGTCATGTTGTCTGAAGATGGGATTCACCGTGTTGATGTTTGAGTTACTTCTCTTACAAGAGATTTTCCTGTTTGGTGTTTCAGAATTCGAGAAGTAATGTTTTTGATGATTTGTGAGTCAGGTTTGTGCAGAAAATACTTATGTTTTTATGTCAACATCTTCTCCTCTACAACTACCATCCCTTCACCACCATAACCACTACAACTACTATCTATAACCTGATCAGTCTCTGACATAATCATAACTGAACTTTCAGCCATCTTCACGTTTTCCACATCAATCACTGAAGTTGTAGTAAGCAAAGTCACTCCACATTCAATCAGTAGTTCCCTCCACTCTGGTGCACATCACACCACAGCGCTCAGCCTGCACTCCAAGACGACCACTCTAGCGACACCAACAGTATCTTTTATCACTTCTCCGTCTCTCCTCTAACCCGATTTGTTTACCTCTGCCGATAACACCACTCTTCTGCACAAGTGCACACACTACCCCCTCTCACACAGACGCAAGGACGACGCACGGACGAGACGCAGTCCCCCCTGCGTCTCGTCCTCCCCATCTCACGTAGTCCCTCCCTGCGTCTCGTCCTCCCCCACCTCATCCACTCTGCTCACTCGTCTTTCCTCGTCATTTACGACTTGGGGGCCACTATGTGTTTCCAATAGAGGGGCCACCAGGGACCTGGTTCAGACAAATAGCACCATTTCCCCCCGATAAATACCGCATTGTCACTGCTATCCGGAGAGGCCAATCACTCTGCCCTTGTGTGGACCAGAGCCACGGGAGGGGTGCGTGTATTCACCTGTTCGCCTATTTCAGTCTGAAGGATTGAGTTTTTAGCTCTTGGACCCCGACATTCCAGCAGCTGCTTGTCTTATGCAATGACATTCTGCTGGGCCGTCTACTGATCAGCCCTAAATTGTAACGTAACAGTTTTTTAACGCCTGTGTAGCTATTTACTAGCAGGTGAACAGGCTTATTAGGTGAAGGAGAGCGTTGCCACGTGGATCGAACCCGGAATCCTGTAATTTTAGAACTGTAATTTGTCTACTTCCACGTCTTTCATTTTTTTTATACAACTGTATCTATCCAACTCATTTTGCATTTAGCTGATTTCAAGTCTGTTAAGCTTTAGCTGTTAAGATCCCAATACGAGGACTATCGGTCTCGTTCAGTTCTGATTGTTCCCATTTGTTTTGCATGACGAGCGTTGATATGAGAGCGCCAATTTCCTCTCTCAGCTCGTTGACGTATTCTAAGAGCCAGATGGGCCTTCTAACTACCGATATTTGCGATATTGCGCTTCTTAACTCTCTCCACTCTGATATCTTCACTCTCAGTGTAACCCATTGCTTCTTGAGAGGTACCAACTTATCCTGTATAGTGCTTGTGCAGGCGATGAGTCACAATAACGTAGCAAAAGTATGTTGACCAGACCACACACTAGAAGGCGAAGGGACGACGACGTTTCGGTCCGTCTTGGACCATTCTCAAGTCGATTGTGATTCCTGGACCATTCTCACAATCGACTTGAGAATGGTCCAGGACGGACCGAAACGTCGTCGTCGTCCCTTCACCTTCTAGAGTGTGGTCTGGTCAACTGTATAGTGCTTCTCCAGCTTGATTAGGAGTCTCTTGAGTGGGACTGTATCCAATACATTCAGGCAATCAATTATGTTACAATTTGGCGCTCTCTTGTTTGATTTTTCTCATCTTGGTGCATAACTCTACTAAGTTTTATCATGCTGGTGGTTCGAAGTTAAAATTTGCCTTTCTTCCGGTCAGTCTCTCAAGTAACTTGCAGCAGGGGATACTTGTTAGTGTTATGAGTCTGTAGTTTAATTGTTCTTTGCGTCCTTCCTGTATTCATGTATATTAACATTCTGCCCGAAACGCTTTGCGTAATAGTGGCTTTAGGCATTGTATGTACTAGCTCTATCTATAAAGCCAACAAACTTTGTAAAATCTCTTTATGTATGTACCTTACCTAAATAAATATTATTATTATTATTATTAACATTACTTCTTTCACTATAGTTATATTATAGTAATGGCCACGAGGATGGGTGGCCAGGATCTGCAGCTTATTACATATGTGGTCCCGGGTTTTGTATTTGTACTTCTGGAGTCATAAATATTACTGTGATTCTCTCTCACGTTGGAGTGTCTGGTCTGATGGGCTAGTGGCTCTGGTAACCACTCTGGGTCCAGATGGAAAGGTCCCGGAAGCCTTTATTAAGTGTTTCGCACCATTACTGGACATTACCGGTGCTACAAATCCACAAGGGCCGTGACGAGGATTCGAACCTATGTCCGAGATCATCCCAGAAGCTGCCTGAATCGACTGAGCTACGACATGGTCAAAAGAGTTGAAACCAGAAGTTCTACTGAACTTACTTGGATCCTGCAGCCTCTCCGAGACACAAACCAGGGTTTTACACAACTCCCCCCATGCACTCGAGCTATATCAATAGGCCGTTCTACCTCTTTTACCTGCGTGTAATTATCGATGCTTCCACTCATTTTATATTACCTGAGCACTTGGTCGTTCACAGACGTCTTCCTCATGGTGGGTGTATGGAAATATTTTAGGCTGATTCTCGTGTTTAGATGTTAATCTCATGCTCCTTCTCTATTGCTATTCAAATTTCTTTGTTTTTATACCTAGCTTTTGTATATACGTTGATTTATTTTTGTTCGGTGTTCTCTTTTTTTATGTTGTCTTCTTGATTCTTGATTCCTTAATGATGGTATGAATATTCTTGCAACTTTCTTAAGTTTGCTCGTTATGTAGTCCATCATGTCTTGTTGAACGAGTATGATTCTCTGTCTCTGTCTCTCTCTCTCTGTCTCTCTGTCTCTCTCTCTCTCTCTCTCTCTCTCTCTCTCTCTCTCTCTCTCTCTCTCTCTCTCTCTCTCTCTCTCTCTCTCTCTCTCTCTCTCTCTCTCTCTCTCTCCTCTCTCTCTGTCTCCGTCTCTCTCTCTCTCTCTCTCTCTCTCTCTCTCTCTCTCTCTCTCTCTCTCTCTCTCTCTCTCTCTCTCTCTCTCTCTCTCTCTCTCTCTCTCTCTCTCTCTCTCACCAAATGCATCATCATTATCTCTTGCTTACCCTCCCGTAGCCTGGAATGCGAAGCTAAGAGCATCAGGCTGTTTGTGTAGCCAATAAATGAAGACAAACAACTCAGGGTTTTTGGCTCTGTGTTTCTGGAGATGCTCAGAAAATTGCCCAATTCTGGAGTCTCCATTTTTTCTGAGTGGGGGACGGCCCGTTATCCGTTCCTTACACGTATCAAAGGTGTGTGTTGCTTCGGTGCTATTTGGAGGCTGGTTGGGTTGCAATTCGAGGCCTTTCTGGCTATTTTGGTAACTCTTTGACTTCTATTTTGAGGCCTTTTAGCTGTTATTCAAGGCTGTTTGATGTGTTTTTATCGGGGATTGAGTTGCTGTTGTTTAGAATTGCGTTATGGTTATTTTTGGGGCCTCTTTTCAGTGTTATTTTGGGGTTATTTTAGAGTTCTTTGGCTATTTATGATTTTATTTAACTATATTTTTATCTTGACTGAAGAAACGTTTTGCTATCATCACTATTACAAATTCATTATTTTCCTTACAATTATTAGTGTCATTATTTTTATTGTTATAATGATCGTATTATCATCATCATTGTCATCTTCATCATTGACTTCATCATTCTTTCTAAATGATGGAACACGTTTATAAATTAAATTTCTTCTCCTACAGAGACTTTAGAAGCATCTGGTTCCAGCTACTTGCTCCATTCTGAACACACACACACACACACACACACACACACACACACACACACACACACACACACACCTGTAAGACACAAAAGCGATTGCAATTATATAATTTCGTATTTCTGTAATAATTGTTCTTCCTGCATCATTTTTTCAAATTGTGAAAATTTACAAGAAAATCTATGAAAATCCATTAAATTCTATCATAAATTTTTATCTCTAGTTATAAGAAAGATTGTGGAAATAATTGACATTAGTGTTATCCTTTCTATGGAATTTTAACCACGTCTGGAATCGTAATTCCTTCTGGAATTGGAATAGTGTTTTGATAGGCGTCTATTTCGGAAATAATGATCCGGAATTGAACATAGACCGTAAATTTTACAAATTTTCTTTTGGAAATTTTACGGCACAGAAAAGGAATTTTTGTTGTAAATGAAACTGTGTTAAGAATTTCGTGATTTGGGAGCATGACTCTTAACATATACAGATTGTGAAGTCGTGAAGCCTACAATGCAATTTACGAAGAAGTAATAAAACTTAAAATACAGTTTGTGTTGTAAAATGCAGAGTGGTAGCTAAATCGTATATATCAATGCAGAACCCGGATTGTGTTCTACAGCCTCCAGCATACGCTAGTAAATCTTTAGAGTTAATACGCGTCAGTAGTGATTGTAAGAGCAACCTTGAGTTAATTGTGATTGTAGGTAAATTACAGACTGTCGCAAAATCGTGGCATTGTTATATTGCGCTAGTTGTCACAGTGAGTGCTAGGAAATTAGTGATTAAACCCTACAATGAGAACACAATCAGAACACCTTGCAGTCAGAACACTCAACGATCATCACACTACGATCACAACACTCGACGATCAGAATGATTCCACAGAGTGCCGTTTTATCACTATCATTCTGGAAATCTGTGTCAGAAAACCTGCCGAATCTGTGACCATATGAGGGAGAAAACCCGCCCTCAGTAAATGACTAAGATAATGTGATACCGGAAGCTGCCAGCGCCGCAGAAATTGAAGCCACTAACATGACTCTGTTTGACAGCTTCGTTACACCGTTGCTGATAACAGCAACGGCCACAACTCCAAAGGTGAAATAATCCAAATAGCATCAATCAGTGAAGCTCCCTAGATACAGTGTAGAGAGTAGCTGTGATCAGGATGACTCAAGAACGTCGACCTAGGCCGAGGCTTCTTCCTTGCTGCCACTGCATCAACAAGAGTCCAACAGGTAAGTCTTTGCCTGCTTTAGAGGAGCGTAAGTTTCAAACTTACGTTCAGTTTAGAGGTGGATAGTTTCAAACCTTAGCCAGGCTGTATGGGATGTTTCCACCACAGAAAAGCCTTAGGCCGATGAGGTTATCAATTGCAATCAACTGCATAGTGATTAAGGTCCATTTGCACCTCGATGTAGTACTTTATAACAGATGCGCCCTTTAGGGGTTAACAGTCTGATAGTGTGGGAAAGGTACGTGAGATAGAACTCGATTGACAGTAATTAAAGAGACAAACAGAGAGAAGTCTTTCAGTCAGAAAGCATGAGTTGTAAAACGTTATACTGTCGAGGTTCAGTATTTGATTCATACACACGCGATACTCTCTCTTCGGTGTTTCATAACTATTAGTTGCACATTTTCGGCTGGCAATTTACGCGATAATATTTGCAATTTACAGAGATAATAGACGGCAAATCCCAAAATCCTCCTCGGCAGAATCTATCACGTGTTTAAAAACTATGGAACTGCACTGTATTTGAGGGCAGAAATGTATTTTCAATTTCCCTTTTGTATTTCGACAAGAAAACATATAATCTATGAATACAACAACACACCTACCAAATAATTAATGCATTATAACTACTATGGATGGAATGTATAAAATAGAGTCTATTGCACCTTATAAAAGTCGAATTTTTTTTACTTTTTGTAACTCAGTGGGGAGTATCATTAAGTTTACCTAATTTGTATTAGGCCTAAGTAATCCTAATTAACATAAATGTACAAGATTTGGCTTGAAAATGTTGGGTTTTAATTGTTATCTTCTTTCTCAGGACCTCTTCAAAATGGGTAGGACAAAACTAGAATTTGTTAGAGTACAATAATCCATATTTCGTTCATTCCATCCGCTATGGTCGCTACTGGTACTATTTTTTATTTAGAAGACAGGATGGTACACAGCCCTACATTTAGAACCAATTTCCATTATCAAAATCGTAGAAGCAAAATAAAAAAACGAATGCATGTTCTCAAATGCAAAATAAATCTTAAGTCTTATGTCAGTGAAGAAATTAGTTCACCAGGGAGCCGGTCGGCCGAGCGGACAGCACGGTGGACTTGTGATCCTGTGGTCCTGGGTTCGATCCCAGGCGCCGGCGAGAAACAATGGGCAGAGTTTCTTTCACCCTATGCCCCTGTTACCTAGCAGTAAAATAGGTACCTGGGTGTTAGTCAGCTGTCACGGGCTGCTTCCTGGGGGTGGAGGCCTGGTCGAGGACCGGGCCGCGGGGACACTAAAAAGCCCCGAAATCATCTCAAGATAACCAGTCTCTGGTATCCCTCAGTTTATAAGTTTTGTCGATGAAGCAGTAATTTTCAACCTGGGATACCGCGAACCTCAGGCTGAAACGTCTTGCGTAGGTAAACCTTTATAACGTTTCCTCAGATTTATTTAGACCTTCAAACAGACCCGTGGAACCATCACGACAGAGTTGTTGTGTTGTTTCCGAAGCTAAGATAGTTTCCGCGGTTTTTGTATTGGAACGCGGCGGGACATATCCGTAGAGTTTATTTCATCCCTGGGCAATTTCCTCTAAGTGGTTTCGTTTAGTATAATTACATTTTCTATAACATTCATGCTTGCAACTTCTCGAGGATAATTGGTTTTTTTTCTAATTTGCGAGCATTATTTTTATATGAAGGCTTCAATGTGTCTTTTGCTTCTAACAGTGGATAAGAGAGAAGAGAGAAAGATAGACAAGGAAGGAAAAGAGAGAGTTTGTATAATGCTGAGTCGGGTAGTTGTTGTCAAGATGCTCTTCTTGAACTTTGCGAGAACTTGTACATCTCGTGAAATTACCATTCTCCTTTTCCCTGCTTACTGAGTCCTTCTTCTTATCTTTTGCCTCCTGTTCCTTTTCTTCTGCCTTCTTCCCTCCTGTCTCCTGTTTCCCGTCTCTTACATTTTGTCTCCACACTTTTCTCACTTTTTCATCTTTTCTACACTTCCTCATCTCTTCTCTCTCTCTCTCTCTCTCTCTCTCTCTCTCTCTCTCTCTCTCTCTCTCTCTCTCTCTCTCTCTCTCTCTCTCTCTCTCTCTCTCTCTCTCTCTCTCTCTCTTTCTCTCTCTCTCTCTTTCTCTCTCTCCCTCTCTTTAATTATCTATTTTTCTACATTCTCACTTATTTATATTCCTTTCTTGCTGACTTTTCATCTTTTTAACTTTATCCAATTCCCTTTCCTCCCCCCTCTGCTGATATTCCTGATTGTCTGAGTGAAGAAAGGGTAAGAAGAGCTATCCCCTCCCCCCATCAGGTCTCGGAGTGGTACGGATGACCCATTTCCCATCAGCTCTCGAAACTTTAGGAAGAGCCCATTTCCCCTCAAGTCTTGGAATGGTAAGGAGGGGTCATTATCTTTCAAGTCACGTACTGATAAAGAGATCTATTTCCTCTTGAGACGACCATATGTGTTCCTCTTCCATCAACTGCCTTTGGAACACCATATTCCCGTGTCTGTGAGGAAAGACGTTACTGCGATCTCAGTCCAATTACGTTTAGATTGTGATGCTGAATTCTGGAGAAATATGGGTCCCACAGGATTCTATCTTGTAGAGGTACGACTTGTGATGCTCCTGGACCATTGTGTTCTGTCTCGTAATGTCTCCTTGTTGGGGATTTACAATCAAAAGAGTAACCGTAACGATAGGTTATGCAAAGTGGTTTGTGAGGGTGTACATATTCACGTTATTATGGGACCAGATAAGGTGCTTGTCATTGTGAATTCAGCGTTCAATGAGATCATTATTTGTAGGTCTGTTATTGTCTGGCTGTGGCAACGCTTCACAGTTTATATTGAATGTGGGATTTTTGTACTTTGTGATCATTTGGTCACCCTGAGAGACGAATATTGGCGAAAAGGACGATCTCGTTCGTAACATGGATTTGTTCGATACCTGATATCAAGAGAGAGATGATGGGAGAGAGAAAGGGGGAGGATAGAGAGGGATGGAGAGAAAGAGGAGGAGGATAGGAACGAATGGAAGACCAGAGAAAGCAAGAGGGGTAAATAATAGGGAGAGAGAGAGAGAGAGAGAGAGAGAGAGTTTGAGAGAGAGAGAGAGAGAGAGAGAGAGAGAGAGAGAGAGAGAGAGAGAGAGAGAGAGAGAGAGAGAGAGAGAGAGAGAGAGAGAGAGATCTTGGGGAAACAGAAAAACCATCACACCTGAGAACGATCTCGTAAATTCTCCCCAACGTGTATGTGTAGTTTCCTACACTTTGGCCAATGGTTTCACACCCTTTAGAGATTTCGTACATCTGGCAGTGATGTTATATCCCTAAAAATATAGCCTAGTTCACTCTCTATTTTTATAGTCTTTCTCCTGTCTCTTTATCCCGTTCCTGTTATCTCTCTCTCTCTCTCTCTCTCTCTCTCTCTCTCTCTCTCTCTCTCTCTCTCTCTCTCTCTCTCTCTCTCTCTCTCTCTCTCTCTCTCTCTCTCTATTTCCGCTAGAACAGGACCATCATTGGCCTAGGAACCAGAGGCGTGGCATAGTGGTCTGTGTCCTTGACTCGTAATCGAGGGATTCGAGTTCAATCTCAATATGCAGGAAACGTAAACCGGTTGGACACGTGGTTTTCTTTCACCCGAGGCCTCTGTTCACCTAGCAATAAAGTGGGTCACTGGGAGTTACGAACCATGTGACCACGATGTGTGTACCTAAATGTGATCTGAATGTGTACACGGATGTGGCATAGATGTGATCTAGATGTGTTTGATCAAAGTCTACTTTAGATGTGTCGTACACGGGTCCTTGACATGCTTTTGATGTGATCTCACTGTATGGCAGACGGGTTCCGTATGTAGTCATGATGGGTTATAGATGTGAATTGAATACTTCTTCGATGTGACGTGGATGTGGCCTTGATATACTGCCTGTAAAGAGACAGGGTAGGTCCGACACTCCGGTAATATTGACTTGGGCAGCACAGAGAGAGAGAGAGAGAGAGAGAGAGAGAGAGAGAGAGAGAGAGAGAGTGGGGGAAGGGCGTGCAGTTCTACAGTGGATCCTCAGTTCTGGCACTTACCACTGCTCTTCGGCATAGAGCCATGTAGCAATTGGTTCTGTGGTAAAAGTATTGACAACAGCAGTGAAGCACCACCACACATCACTACCACAGTGAAGCACCACCACCCTCCACTACTACAGTGAAGCACCACCACCCTCCACCACCACAATCATGAGAAACATAATCCCCATTTTCTTTCATAAAATAATACCTATTTTAAACTAAGCGCATTATCGCTGTTGGAAAGCCCAAAGGTCGTCAGGGAAGCCCCTCATAACCCACAAAGTTTGCGCTGGTAAGAGAGCCTTGGGCCCTATTGGGTCCACCATAGTAGTGAAGATAACATTGTTGGAGATACTGGATATTGTGAAGTGAAAATGCAGCATCTGCTTTTAACCCCGAGCAACGAAGGGGTAACTCTGGTAAAATAGAATTTATAATAATAATATATTTAAATATTGAAAAGTGCCTAGGCAAGAGGCAATATATTTAAGAATATGTATTAAGTGAGAGAAGGGAGTAAAAACGTTGAAAGAATGACTACATAGCACTTGCAAGGGATATGAGATAGACTAAGAGCTGAAATAAAAGGACAGGTTGAAGGAACAGTGCACAGCCACTTGAATCATAAAATAAAAATTTAACTTTTGTTATATCATCTGTAATAGAAAATAACTCTCACTGCGATCATTACTGTGAGCCTCGTACATAGTGCTCTACATACGAGGCTCTGTACCTAAGATGTCAAGGCTCTGACAATATTTGTATAGCATTATCTTCCAAGACAATTTAATATTTGTAAATAAGCGCTATATAAATTTTGGACCAGTCTCACTTTCCAAAATGGTAGAGGGGACAATTTATTTCAGAAAGTATTTGATATTAGCTTATATGGCGTTGAGAATTTGGTTGTTTAATGCTTGCTTTTAAATATCTGAAAAGTGCTCACCTAGTTGTGTTGGCTGGGGATTGAGCTTCGGTTCTTTGGTCTCGCCTCTCAACTGTAGAATGTGGTTAGTTAAATATGCTATTATAGCTCCATATTGGTCAGTTTTAATTAGAAAGCCAAGAAGTATTTTTGAGAAATATAAGAGTTTTAATGTAAAAAAATACCATTTCTAACTAAATTTAAAAAAAATGGAAAAATATTTATAAAAATAATTAAAAATTGTAATAACTTTTAAAAATAATTAAAAACATTATTGGTATTAGTATAAAATGTATCATTGGAAGTAGGATTAGTATAAATAATAGTTGTAGGATTACTGCAAATAGTAGAACCATAGTAATTGTTGATGTTATACCAACAGAAGTAGTAACTTAAGAAGTTGCAAAAGTAATACTATTAAGAAGTAGCGTAAGTAGGTAGGAATTATAGATGTTTTAGAAAATTTATAAATTTTAGATGTGGTGATCATTGCCCGACGAATGTTCGCCTGGCGGACCATAAATCAACAACATGGCCCGCGCCCTTGTCAGTATGATCGGCCCTCGTTAGTGACTGCGTCGCACGACACCAGTAGCGGGAGTGAACGCCGGGCGTTCCCGCACCACACCCTTCCTTGACAAAGGGTACACTTATCTCTTATGTCAAAATAAAGTCACACAGGGTTTGATACCTCAGTACTATGGAAAGGAAAACCACTTGGATCCCTGTCCCAATTCTCGTTCCTCTTCCCACGTGGTTTTGACCCTTCTGTTTTCCTGTTTAATCTCTTTAAATGTGTCTTTCATCTATTTTCTTTCCGTTCTTGGCTTCATCTTCCCTCTTCAACTTTTCTCTTTCGCTTCACTCCTTCCTCTCCCTCACTTCGCCTTTCCTCGTACCATACATTCTTCTTTATTCCTAGTCTCCTCCTCCTCCTCTCCCATCTTCTTTCTCTTTACCCTCACTGCGTCCAGTCGCGTCCCCTCGTTTTGATAAAAAGTGAGTCGCGACACTAACTGGCGGCAGTTGTTTAATTAAAAGAATAGTGTTTCTATGTCGTCCGCGCGAGGCGACACCGGAAATGGAAACGAAATTGCAATAGTTGAAGAGCGGTGCTTGCAGGATTGATATAGTGTCTGTATATCAGTTACTATAGTGGTTGTGGTTGCAGTAGTTGTTGTTGTTTAAGATTCGCTACTTGGAACAAAAAGTTCCAAGTAGCACGGGCTATGGTGAGCCCGTTCCTGGGTAGGAAACTTTAGGATTATTAAACCCTATGTACTAACTTACTGCTCACCTAGTAGCTATACTTCAGTAATGCAAGTATACTCTTAGTGTATATATTCCGAAATGGGAGGGAGTATACCTATCGGTGTCTGTACGTATGTCTGTGCTGCCTATTGCTTCCATCTCCCTATTATTAACAGCAATAAAACTGACTAGAAACTCCATATTAATATAAACATTTGAATTATTATCAAAGATTTGATGGAGCTCAATTTTGATGTTTTTTTCAAAATCATTTACCGGTGCACAAGGACACAGGCTTTTGGTCCACCGCCAACGGAATATATTTTAAATTTACATGAATAAAATCATATTTTTTTCCAACATAAATTGAAAATCATTTCAATAAATGCATGAAGTAAAATACTTGTAAATTAGGTGCATCTTATGCGTCGGTAAATATGATATATCAAGATTAATCTTACAAAATGTGGATGTAAATCTGAAATTACTACTGGATGAGGCTTCAGGCTTGGGTAGAAATTATATATATATATATATATATATATATATATATATATATATATATATATATATATATATATATATATATATATATATATATATATATATATATATATATATATATATATATATATATATAATATATATAAGCGATTATGATGTTTTTCTCCTCGGTCTTTCCGTAGGTCCTCTGAGCCCTGTGGATGAAGCACTGCCAGACCTACCTGACACAGCCTCCACTAACACAACCATCTCCCCCACAAGTGAGTACTCAGAGCCTTCTTCAACATCTGTTTCACACCTGTGGGAGTACTTAGTAACCCACAAGCCCGCTGTACACCTGTATCATATGTGTATTGCATGTGTTGCCTCTGTTGTTGACAGTACTATGGACCAGCAAGTACAGGTAACGTTTAAGAATCTGTCTTTCTATGCTCGTTAAACGCTAAAAACAACGTTTATGCCGTGAAAATCAAATAGAACCAAATAAACGTTTTTGCAACACCGACGTTGAACGTCTGTTTTCATAAATGTAGTTTAATGCTTCACAAATCTTATTATTTTACAAAGGTCGTTATCAATAAGAGAGTTTACCTTACTAAGAACGTTTATTCTTTGGCAAATATTTGTGTACTAAGACAGACTAAGAGAGAGAGAGAATTATTAGGGGAAAGCGCCAAGGCATTATGACAATATAGCACTTGGAAAGGGTTAGGATAAGGATTTGGGTAAGGGACGGGGGTAAAGGAATTGTAACGGATTATATTTCAACAGAACCGTGTGTGTGTGTGTGTGTGTGTGTGTGTGTGTGTGTGTGTGTGTGCTTGTGTGTGCATCCACAGAATATACTACACTTATTGATGTGTGTAATTCCGCTGTTAAGTGCTGTTGTCTCCAATTACGGGATAGGAGATGCTATCAGCATACCATGGAATAATGATGCATACTATGAAGGTATGTTGAAAGCTGTTGTGTGTGTGTGTGTGTACTCACCTAATTGTGCTTGCGGGGGTTGAGCTCTGGCTCTTTGGTCCCGCCTCTCAACCGTCAATCAACTGGTGAACAGATTCCTGAGCCTACTGGGCTCTATCATATCTACATTTAAAACTGTACATGGAGTCAGACTCCACCACATCACTGCCTAATGCATTCCACCTGTGTGTATGTGTGTGTACTCACCTATTTGTCACCTATTTGTGTGAGTGTGTTTTACAACACACAAACAGACCATAATCTAGAAAACATGCTAATATATGCACATTATCTGCACCCAAAACTTTTGCAAATTTTCAAACGACACACGTCAAACTTTAAGACTCCCTTGCGGTTATATGAGAACCTATCAAACTATAATATTATGAAGTTGTGAAACTATAACATTGTTGCGGAAGTTATAATGGATTGAGAGTGGGAAGCTGGACCCAGTTATTGAGGGTAGATATATTCCACTGTGGTTGACGTTGCGATAGCTAATAGGATTGTGTCCTACTCAATCCTCCAGTCTTCTCCTCCACCTCCTCGATCTTCCTATTCATAGCTCCTATATACTAATGAAACGTAGTTATCCATAATGCAATTATGATTGCAAGAAATGATGTGGACAAAGAAATTGTGTAGGGCGGCGAGGGGGATTAGGGAATTATCAGGGGGGAAAGCACCAAGCCATTACGACTATATAGCACTGGGAAGGGGTCAGGATAAGGATTTGGGATAGGACGGAGGGAAAGGAATGGTGCCCAACCATTCCTTTCTTTCATAATTTCTTTCTTCGATTTGTCGTTGTTTTTCTCCAGTCCTCTAATCCTTGCCGCTTTCTCCCGACACCTTCTTCCTCTCAATCTATTCCTCTCTTCCTTCCTCCCTCCCTTAATAGTTCTCTCTTTCCCTCTAAATCCTCTTACCTTCCTGCAGCATCTCATCTCCCTAGCCATCTCAAGCCCCTTAATCCATCCCAGCCTCCGTCTCCTCGCGCTGTTATCTTATTTCCAATACTCCTTCCCTCTTCCTTCCCTCACCCTTGCCTCCATCCTTCTTCCTTCACCACCTCGATACTCGGCACCTCTGGCAGCTCCTCAGCTGACGCTCGCGGCTCTCAATTGCAAAGCGATTGAAATATAAAGAAATTGACGGCATAAAATACTGGGCTTTGCAATGACACATGGAAAAATGTAAAGCTAGATTTGCAACGACAGTTGCAATATCACCATTCAAGATTTGCGATGACAGGCATAGTAGAACCATCTAAGATTTGCAATGAAATACAATGCAAGATTTGCAAAAACAGGCGCAATAGAACCTAAGTTATACAAAGACTGGTGTAAAAAAATAACAACGATAGCAATGTAAAGATAAGCCTCAGATAGTATTACTTTTTATTAAATGAATCTAATAAAATATGCTAAATTAGGCTGTCATTAGTCTCACTAGGCTTCCAGTCACATTATCAAATATTGCCCGTCACAAGTCTATCATGAGGGTATTCAACAAGAATATAAGATTTACCAGTGTGTACGTGTGGTCATCTTGCAGCATGACAGGTTATCTTTGAGAAAAGAGGTGTAAAATGATAAGAAAATGTAAATTTCTGATCCCAATGCTGTCACTTCATAGCCTTGTACGATTTTGTAGAGACATTATTGGAGGAATGATAGAGAGTTGTATATATATATTAATAAAGTATAAATAAATATACATCCGTTTATCTTGAAATACTCGAAAATACATGAAGGGATCATACTTGAATGAAACTCTTCACTAATGGTGACGAGGAATATATATATATAATTGTATGTAGGACTACTGTTTCTCAAGCAAATCTTAAATTATCTACTGATATTTATTCATTTTCTTCATTTAATGTACCAAGGTATTCCACACTTAGATATGCGTACAGAAATGTCTCTCATCATTTGCCTCACTCACCACAAAACTCAAGAATATCTCAAGCCTATTGGCTTCAATTACCCTCAAAGAGTTCAATATACTACAGACCAGGCTCTAAATTCCCCTCTTCCTGGTGTAGATAGACATTATACCTCTGTACAACACTACAAAGGTTCCAGCATGGTGTAGAGGTTTCAGGGGTGTATGCTTCCGTGTGCTGTCAGACATAAAGTGGACAGCCGAATTCCGGCGACTCGTTGGCAAATTGTTAATAACAGGCCTGGCGCTCTGCGTCACTCGGTTTAATATCAACACTGCGCTGAGGAGAATCAGCAGCTGTTGCTTACTGAAACAACACTGGGCTGAGGGTAGTCAGCAGTTATTACTGACTCAACTTTATGCAGACGGTTGTCAGCAATTGGTGCTGTCTCAGCATTAGGCTAAGAGGAATCGGCAGCTGTTGCTGACTAAAAGAACATTAGACTGAGGGGTAGTCAACAGTTGTTACTGATTCAAGCAGGACTAGGCTGAGATGAAGTTATCAACTGTTGCTGTCTAAAAACTTCACATTTGCATGTATTTCGCTGCGTAGCTTTACCTTCAAAAAGACCTGTGTTGAAATTCTCCAGGTAATCAGCGATTCATCGGAGCCTATTGAAGCTCAGTGATTTCGTGGTTTAGTCTACAGCGCAAAAGTTAATAAAGGCCTCCTTCCATGTTTTTCCCTGAGGGTCAAATCGCTTGCTCTTTTCACGTTGAAAGCCGACTTGCTCTAAAATAGTATTTTTTCGTTTCAATATCAATGTTTAAAATTGGTTGAACCTTTTCAATATATTTGTGAATCCGTAAATATTTCATACGCTCTTGGTAGTATTTGAAAATAAAAGTATTATTTTTAAAAGTAGTAAATATATTCACATAAATACAATACAATACAAAAATAACACTGTAATCTATTGAGTTAAGTCTACGCTGGTAACGCAATGCTTGTCCGAAACGTTACGAGTGCATCACCAAACACCTTAATGCCAAAGCGGCTCCGCAGGGATGTCCTGAGGTTCCAGTTGGACAGCAGACAGGTGTCTCAAACTGGCTGATCAGATTTTACCATTATATTGCCAATCAAAGTTGCAGTTAACTGGAAAAAAACATTAAGATTCAATAAGATTATAAAACGCACAATAGTTTCTTGTTGCCAATAGTTTATCACAAGTAATTGTTAATTTTTAATTTATTAATATTGTTTTAGCTTCTTTGGAATTTAAATATTCCTTCAAATAAGAATCGTGTCATTCAGTATTGTTGGAAGCCATTGTATTTATTGTGTAGTATATATTGCAATGTATTTATTGTATTGCATATATAGTATTTATCTATTTGTATGTATTGTATTTATCTATGCAGAGTCTGGAATCTCATCTTCATTCCAGCATTCCAATGGGTATGAGGTCCGTATCAGCGACTGGATCATCCTGCCTGGAATTTAAAGAATTCCAGCATGCAAATGGACAATTTCAGTTCAGTATATTAGAAGTTCATTATCTATGGAAATTTGAAAATAAGATCATAATTAATTTCATTGTTAATATTATTATAATTTATTACTATTAACATATAATTAAGTTAATTTGCTTTTGTTGTATTTGTTAATTGATGTTAACATAATCTTATTTTAGCGCATCAGGTTTATTCCGCTTCTTGATATATATAAATAATCTGTCAGATGTTAATTACAATTTGATACTTTCTATATATAATTTATTTTAGGCATCTCTGCCACGTTTCTTCCCATAATTCCATTCTTACTACACCCTACTCTACTCAAGGTAGCGTATAATCTCTACACATAAAGACTGTATTATCTCCCTTAAGACATAATATTGCATAGAGTTCTTACACTGCAACAAATTCTATCTAAACATTTAGATAGCTTGCGTAAACCGTTAAAATCTGCATATCGTTACCTTTAACGATGGGTTTTATTTGGCAACAGTGTCTTTTTTCAGTTGCTGTTACTTGGCAACATTTTTTGTAGCTAAGTTAGCAATACAAACAGGGTAGGGCGTAGCCGTTGAGAATTACCGTTTGTCATTTCCCACTCTTTGTCACTGCATTCTTCAGATATAAATGGATACAGGGAAGAGGAGTAGTGGCAAATACATGTCGAAAGTGAGATAGACAACTAACCTTACAGGCAAAACATGGGATCAGAAATGAAAGTGACGAAGTTTCCGGCCCGTCCTGGACTCTTGATCGAGTAGCAAAACCAGTAGGATCTCAAATCTGTGCCGGTGTGAACATTGTAATGTCATAGTGACGTCGAACCTTTTGCCCATAATATCTCAAACACAAAATTGTATCTCTTGATTTCGTGTGGTTA